CTTTCACAGAGAGCTCAGTTGGCCCTCACTTGCTGTGGCCCAGAGCTTACCTCACTGCCATTGGATGGTCCTTAGCCACATTTGACAGGGACACAAGGCCTCGCCTAGTCCCTACTTGAGGTCAAGGATCCAGATACATGATAAATTCACAACGCCCTTTGTGTCTGCTATTTCCACATTCAAAAAAGACAAGAGAGGAGACTAAAGACCAAGGAAAGCCTAAAAACCGGAGTTCAATCCCCAGAACCCACATTCAAGTGAAAGGAGAGAACCAATACCACAAAGTTGTCCTCTGGCCTCCACATAAGATCCATGGCATGCGCATACCCACCCCCATACACACACAATGATAATAACTGATTAAATCAGCAAATATACAAGACATGACATGATTTCAAATGCCGAAGGCCCTGGAAAGGTGTCTAAAGGGTAAGCCCACAGACAAGCCTCAAGGTCCCCCCACAGTGCCAGAGGGTCTCAAAGGCCGGTGGTGGGCACTTTCAGATGCACAGGGGAAGCTTTACCTGTGTGAAGTCAGCTCTGGGATCACGGGTGAGGGGATGTCTGTAGCTCTAAGCTATGGAAAGTATATGAACCTAAATGTCATGGGTTCATTTCAACCTAGCCTGGCTGTGGTTCTTAAGAGCCAGCGAATGGCCTGGCCTGGCCCTGCCCCACCCCCCTTACAGGCAGCCGGAAGACGGCTGTGTTTATGAACAGCTCAGAACTTTTGCTCCCAGGGTTTGGTGGGGTTTTGTTTTTTGATTTTCATTTTATTTGACTTGGTTTGTTTCTTTGTTTGTTTTCCACTTTCTTTTGTTTATTCCAAGGTCTAAATGACTAGAAATGTCTCAGAGCTACCTTCCTGTCAGGTAGAGCTATTGCCATCTACTCAACTTCCCCTTAAACGATCCACACTGAGAAAGTAACCAGCAGCCTAGAAGGAAGTCCCCATAGTACTCTTCAAAATGCCTTTCTTCATGATTTCGCCATCCCATGTATCCCCCCTAAAAAGGAAATCACAGCGGACTCTATTCACGGACCATCCAGTTGGCGTTTTGAGCATTACCTTCTGCTTTTCCCACGGAAGGCTGATCGATCAATAAGGCCCAGTTATCACTGAAAAGACAGGCAAGGAAATGCATCAGGCTCTAGCGAAACCAGTCTGGGCTGGCACAGACCCAGAAAAGAAAACAGAACCAAGAAGAGCAAGACAAGCAACCAAGCCGAGCACGGGGACTCACATGGGCGATTCCAGCACTTGTGCAGCTGAGGCAGCTACAGAGTGAGAGACCCTGTCACAAACCAAACTCAAACAAAACCACAGATGCAGATGAGGAAGACTACCCCGGAAAACTAAGTAGGAAGAAGAACCGAGGCTGAGGAGATGACCCAGTGGGTAAGACAACTTGTTGAAACCCAAGAGCCTGAGTTCAAACCCCACCACCCACATAAACAGTCAGGTATGGCCACGTGCTCCTATAACCCCAGTGCTGGTGGGGCAAAGACAGGACTGTTAGAGCTAACTGGCCATGAGGCTAACTCCAGGTTCAGTGAGAGATTGTCTCAAAGAGACGGTCACTTGACAGCCTCCTCTGGCTTCTGCACACACACACACACACACACACACACACACACACACACACACACTAGGCACATACTTCTGCATATACATGTAGGCACACATCACACTCACATATAGGCACACACATGCATACACACTGACATACAGACCCACAAGAAAATTTAGCGGAGGGAAGGAATGAGGGAGGGAGGGAGGGAGGGAGGGAGGGAGGGAGGGAACAAACCAGAAGAGGAACCAGAAAGATCCAGCTGCTCCCTCTATTCGAAGCTCCCAGGTCAGAAAGGAAGGAACGTGCCTTCAGACCTGGCATTGCCAGGTTCAGGAGATTCCTTTCCACCTGTCACTGTCTCCAAGAGCTGTCACATTACGTGATTGAGTTCTTGTCCCCCTTCCCTCCTTTCGTCTGTCCTGTGTAGCTTCCTGGCTCGTTCCATTGGCAGAACAAGCCTAAAAGATACATCAACTAAACTAAAATGAAAATGTGAGAGGAAGCCATGACTTATGGCAGGAAACCTGTTGCTGTATGTTAGGGCAGATGTGTTAGTCGCTGCTCTATTGCTGTGAAGAGACACCATGACCAAGGCAACTTTTATAAAAGAAAACATTCAACTGGGGGTTTGCGTACAGTTTCAGAGCTTTAGTCCATTATCAGTATGGCAGAGACCGTGACAACAGGCAAGCATGGCTAAGAGCTGCATCCTGATCCATAGGCAACACTGGTTTTGGCATGGGACTTTGAAACCTCAAAGCCCAGCCCCAGGGACACACTTCCTCCAATAAGGCCACACCTCCTAATCCTTCTAATCTTTTCAAATATGCCACTTGTTGGTGACTAAGCCTATGGGGGCCATTCTTATTCAAACCACCACAGTGGGGATATTCATAAGACTGTTGACTGGGCAGCCATCTTAAGAGAAAGGGACTCTGGGATTTCCCAGTGAGCAGAGACATGTCCACAGTGGCTTCTGGAACAATCAGTCCATCCTATAAGCAATGCACATGGTTATGTTACCTGGACCTAGATAACTGGGGGCAGCCTTTAGCCATCATTGAAATGCACCCTGCCTCTGAGGGTTCTCTGGGGTGGCCCTTCTTCTCCTGCTATTGAATCTCCCACTTCTTTTCTTACTTAGTGCCGATAGCATCACCCAACAGTTCTGGGGAACAGGCAGGAAGTGTTACCCAGTGGTCAATGAACGGAAAGGGGAAGCTCGACTCTGGAGGCTTGCAGCCTGCTGCTCTAAGGTCTGGGTTTTTACTAGGCTTGCATTCTGACAGTGAAGTATTCACGCTGTCTTCAGAGAAGGGAGGAGACTTCCAGGAATCAGGGTGCTGCCTCTTTTCTCCCCTGACTTGGTTACATTCGGATCTGTGACAGCAGGGTGGGTGTATCTGTATCATTATAATGAGATTCTAATGAGCTCGGCATCCTCTGGAGTGTCAACATGACCTCCACACCAGACCTCATTGATGTGGAGTTCTTGTGGAATGAGAGGGGAAACTGGGTAGCCGGCAGCCAGGAGCATGTGGATATCAGCATGCTAGCTGTTGTTTGCTGGAGCGAGAGACACAGCTGGACAACAGGCTTTGGTCATTTGAGAGCTCTTATGTGGTGACCTGGGAGCCAGGCTCTGCTCACCATCACTGCTCCAAAGAATGTTCTGGCTCCACAGCTGCAGAGGGACTCTTTGTCCTCAAGCCAGGCAGCTCCTGCCTGACCCCATGTCAGATCACTGGAATCTTGCCCAAGGAACATTTGCACAGTAGACTCCTTGAGAGGAACTTGCCCATGTGTGAACTTTAAAATATGAAATGCATCTCCATTTTGCATTGCCTACTTTGAATTTTAAATGTCACCTCTAAAAATGCAGAAAGGCACTGCTGATCGTTCTGATACAAACAAGCAGGAAGCCAAGTCAAGTCTCACTTCTTACCAAGCCCATTGGTCATCCCCTGGCTCATCCTGTCCCTAGTCTCTGAAGTCTGTCTTCACATAGGTGACTCCACCCCTTCAGGCCTAGTCTCCCAAGCTTACAGAGCCACTAAAGGGTTAAAGGCCACCCCTGGGAATATACAGCTGAGACTGAGCCCCTCAGCCCAAAGTTCTGTGACCCTTGTCTCGACGGCATCCTTCAAAAAACATCAGTGCGCAGCAAGCTGGCTCTCTGAGCATTCTGTCTGCTACGTGGAGACAGTCCTGCTTTTTTATTTGGCCGCCCATGAGGCTTTATTATGTGAATTCAAGCCATGGATAGGAGTATCCAAATGCAGGTGTTCCTGTAGGGCCTGGGGATGAGAATGTGGGACACTGCTCCTGACTCAGAATACCAGGGATGCTGCAAACACTGCTTCGGTTAGAACTGAGCCCTCTGCCCTCCATGGCTGTCCCCAGATCCTTCCCATCACAAGAGTCTGATACTGTCAGGAAGGCACCCTGTGACATCCCCACACCCCAGATGCACAGTGACAATGACCCTGAGGAGGGCCATGGAAGACTCGTAAGCCACAGGCCTTCAGGATCATTGTAGAGTTTTAGTTCCAGGGAAGAGACCTAGATGCAAGGAAAGAACTGTGCTGGAAAGCTCACTTGCTCTCTCCCTCTCGTGCGCTCTCTCTTTCTTGCTCTCTCTCTCTCTCTCTCTCTCTCTCTCTCTCTCTCTCTCTCTATCTATCTATCTATCTATCGCTATCTATCTATCTATCTATCTATCTATCTATCTATCTATCTATCTATCTATCTCTATCTCTATCTCCCCTCACTCACTCACTAGTAACAATGTCCAAAATGGATCCAAATTCTAAGACACCCCCCCCATGAAAAGACCCGTGTGCACAAGAACCTGGAGATGTCAGCTGAACCCATTTGAACCCAGAGCTCTTAGAGCCCCACGAGGCACCCCACCTTCTAGTAGCACAAGCTCATCAGGTGTGTGGGTATCCTGATCTCACCAGCAAGCGTGCTTTCCATGACTCAAGAGCTGACTCCTGTCTGACAGGAAGCAGCTGAGCCTAGACAAACAGAATAATGGCCTTGGTGCTCACAGGGGCTGCAGAATGTCCTCTCTCAGTCCATAGCAAACACAAATACCCTGCGGACAGACCACCAAGGAAGGACATGTGAGCTCCCTAAGAGAGCAAGTGTCCTGGGGGAGGAGGCTCTACACTGAGTCTGGGACCCTCTGCTCAACACACTATAGGAAGCAGCTAGCCTTTGAAGTCAGGGGCACTCAGGCAATCTTAATGAAGGCTCTTGTTTCTTAGAGAATGAAGTAGACTCTAGCCATGTTCCTAAAAATACCCATGGGCAAATGTCCTAAGTATGCCATGTAACTGAGCTGAACCACCAGACTAGATGTTGGCTGTCCAGGAAGAAGGGGCCAGTTGAAGACACACTCGTTGGGGAAACAGTACTCACCCTCTTCAGAAACTCCCATCCCGTGACAGGCGCCTTATCCTCACTCAGGCATGGCTCCTCCTGCAGTTGATGCCGGCTAGCATTTCTAAGGCTTCCTGGGGCACAGATGTATGGTCCTATGGGGCATCCTTCCTTAGCTGGATCATCCTGTAGATATCTTGACTGTCGAGTTCCCTTCCTTGGGCCCTGTGTGGGAAGTTTCCTAGTCAGGAGGGTAGGATATGATGGTGCCCAGTGGAGAGCACTACAGTGTGCCTGTACTAAGGATAGCTTTCCAATGTGTTGTTTTACCTCATTACAGCAGCTGCGATTTAAACTACTAGCGGCTGGCTGTTAAGGCCGTAGCCTGGGGGGGGGACTTCTGTAGCCCCAAACAATGGTGATTCAAAGGCTAGGGTGAAAACTCATGAGCTCAGAGATTTAGAATAGCAACTGACTAACTCTTCGCTGGCATCCCAGAAGCTACCCACTTCCACACTGCCCCAGCTAAAACAACACCCACATTAAGCTCCTCCCTGCTACTTCCGGTCAACCAGTTGCTGACCCCACATCTCTGGGCCCACGTTAGTTTTATTCTATTAATGCAAATGCAACACGTCTTTACATAGCGTGAACAAATGTGAGACATCTTTGCCTGGTTTAAACAAATATTCCACAACACTAATGTCTCATTAGGAAATCATTATCTGAGAGGGACACATGGCATCCCACCCATTAAACCCCATGTCTTCTAGAGAGTTGTTCATGTGTTACCCATGTCCACACCCGCCTCTCAGTCTTCTGCCCTGCACTAGCTATGACCCAGAAATGTGAGACATATGAGGACACTGTGGACACTAGCCCTGGCTGCCCACTGACCAGGTGTCTCTTCAAGGTCAAGCAAAGACTTGACCCTCTTGCCCTAAACATAGGAGCAAGGACACCTACCCCCAGGGCCCCAAGGATTTCTAAGTGTTCCCATTCCAGACATCCATTCCTCTGTGTTTCTCTACCACAGGAAAGCCATGCTTTCATTTGAATTGTGACCTTTAACCTGTTACTACAGTTCTGATACACAGTAAAGTGGGTAAAGGTGGAAAAGGTCCTGAGGCCATACCTACTGTTCATAACAACTTCTCTCTCTCCATCTGCTCAGGTCAATGCCACTGTCTTAGTGCTGCTGAAACATGGTGCAGAATTCCCCAGGGAGCCATTTAAAAGCATAATGTCAATGAATGTGGGGTGCAGAAGTGGGCTGGGGAGGCTGAGTGTTCTATAGCTTCTCTGAAGGCAGCAGACATGCATGCATTTGAAGCTGGTGACATGGATAGAAAGACGGCTAGAGGCAGGTGTGGGCACTGTAGAAGTGGTACCTCTAGGAGCTGCTCTCAGAGTCATGGGAAGATGCTCTCAGCTGAGCAGCCCTGGGAAGACACCAATCCCAGGTGAGCTCCTGGGATACTATGCCCTACACCCTGCACAAGTTAGCCACTGAGCAGAGTGTCTGTCAGCTACCAGCCTGACCCCTCCTGAGATACCTGACAAATCACATAAAGAATCCTGGCCATATCAGTCACTCAAGTCTCGGCTTCCTTTCCAGGATTTGAAGACTGTTCTCTCCCTGCCCCAGTACCCAGGGGAGTTCCTGCACCCCGTGGTGTATGCCTGCACTGCGGTCATGCTCCTGTGCCTCCTTGCCTCCGTCATCACCTACATCCTGCACCAGAGGTAAGGGAGCCTACCTCACCCTACCTGGAACAGTGGCCACTAGGGCATAGTACTGGAGAAAACCCAATCCTTCCCTCCTGGGTCTCTGGCCTTCTTTTTTCGTTGTTAATTTATTTTTATTTTATGTGTGTGAATGTTTTGCCTACATGTATGTATGTGTTCTTTATGTGTGCTTGGTACCCAAGGAGGCCAGTAGAGGGTGAAAGATCCCCCTAGAACTGGAGTTAAGAATGGTTATAAGCTACTATACAGGTGCTGACAACCGAACCTGAGTTCTCTGAAAATCAGCAAGTGCTCTTAACTGCTGAGCCATCTCTTTAGCCCCCTCTGGACCTTCTTTTACACCTTTTTTTTTTTTTTTTTTTTTTTTTTTTTAGTTTCTCAAGACAGGGTTTCTCTGTGTAACAGTCCTGGCTGTCCTGGATCTTGTTCTGTAGCCCAGGCTGGCCTCGAACTCATGCAGATCCTCCTGCCTCTGCCTCCTGAGAGCTGGGATTATAGGTGTGTGCCACCACTGCCTGGCTCACTGGACCTTCTTAATAGCAGCCTCTGTGTTCTTGTAAAACTGTGAAGTAAGTCCATCCTGAAATGGAAGCATGCTGGCTCCAGCATCCTAAGAGGCATGGTCAGGCTTGCAGAACCTTGAAGTCTTTTTATTTAGTGAGAGCCTTCTAGACAGAGGTCTACTTCTGAGTTCATTTCTGGCTGCCTATGTCTGGGAATGGGGATGTGTGTGACTGCTGTGTGTCTGAATTTCTAGAAGATGCACTAGGACATAAAAGGAGGGGATCCCAGCCATAGCCACAGCCAAACCCATAACCAACAGTATGAGTAATGCCTAGGCCTGGTTCACAGCCAGTCACAAGTGGAGGCTTGGTAGGACAAGGTCCCTGTTGTGGGAGAGGTTTGAATAGGTTCAAAACTGTTCTTAGTCTATTCTGGCAGCTCTAACAAGTTACCACCCAGTGACTGGTTGATAATAATGGATAAAGTAGAAATTGTTTTTTCATGGTTCTAAAAATTAGAAGTCAAGAGTGAGGGAACAGAGCAGGTTTGGTGTCTGATGAGAACCCATGTCTTGGTTCATGAATAGCGCTCTCTCTCTCTCTCTCTCTCTCTCTCTCTCTCTCTCTCTCTGTGTGTGTGTGTGTGTGTGTGTGTGTGTGTGTGTGTGTGTGTGTGTGTCCTCCAGTGGTATAAAGAGAAAGGCAGCCCCTAGGGGTCTCTTTTATAAGGCTCTACATCTGTTGGTGAGAGCTCTTCTCCAACAACCATCCTCTAATGCCACCACGCTGGCGGTTAGGTTTCTACAGGGATTTTGAGAAGCACGCTCAGACCACAGGAGCTGTAGGAGGAGACTTAGACATGTCCACAGCCATGATGGAGTCAGAGCTATAAGCTGAGCAAGGCTGGCCCTGCCCCAGCTGGCTAGGTAGAGCTTTAGACACGCTGGTGACTATGGACATTATCATAACCAAAGGCAATCATACTCTTAGTCACTTAACCCGGTCCTCTCTGTGCATCAGACATCTTCTCAGAGATAAAGCTGACGTGGGAATCAGGAGCATGACTTCCCCCTCTGAGTCCCTAGACAAGTCAGTCTCTGTCAAATGGGCAGAGGGGTAGAAACTCTACAGAAGCCTTTCCAAGCATTGTACAAGTGAGAACCTGCTGAGGTTCTCAGCTGAGGACAAGGCCTAGTTGTCTATCTTTCCCGTGGTCTGGTCCTTTGGATGGGTTGCCCCCAGTCCGACTGAGGGATTACTGTTCCCACTGTGGACAAGGTGTGGTATTTCCAAGCTCTTCTCTGGACCAGTAGTTTTTAATGTGAAACCTCTGTCTCCCACAGTGCCATCCGGATCAGCCGGAAAGGCCGGCACGCGCTCCTCAACTTCTGCTTCCACGCAGCTCTGACCTTCACAGTGTTTGCCGGCGGCATCAATCGGACCAAGCACCCCATCCTATGCCAAGCGGTGAGTGCTGCCTTCCCTATGCTGAAAAGCAAAAGTGTGCATGCCAGCTTTCTTACCGAAGTGGAAACGAATGTTAATTTGCTTATAAAATAATATCTTAGTGTGTGTTCAGCTGTTGCTCCTGGAGAGAATATTGAAGCTTCTATAGTGGGTTCGTATTATAATCCCACTTCATCTGAAAGCAGGTTGTTTTGCTCAACATTTGGCCATATGAAACAATTTTGTTTTTTACTACAGCAACTTGTCTAAGGACTAGTGAGCCATATACCTAGACATACACTGTCCAGAAAATGGTGATCTTCACAAGAATGGGGACATGATGCCTTTCCTGAAGACCAATAAGGCAGGACCCAGGGGTGGGCTGAGTGAGACCTTCCAGGTGCTAACCTCACATTGCAAAGTAGATCTGCCAGCTATAGGTACCAGTGGCAGCAGAGGCTCTCTCCTCACATGAATCAGGCAGAGCATCCCTCTTTCTTAGGGAGGAGGGAGCTTTGAAACACCAAGCATGGAAAAGAATAGCTCAAATCACAAGGCACATCATCTTCACACATGTGGCCTGGTTTGACTTGCTTAAACGGGAAATAGAAATAACCTGTGGTCCTCAGCTAAAGTGATGCTAGAGAGCCTCCTTTCAAAGTCAAGCCCAGGACTGCCCTGTCGGGTTGTGGCTCTGGGCCAAGGAAGAGAGCCATCTGCACCCCCAGTAAGGAGTCTGTGTTTGTCCTGCCCCCAGACCTGCTCCACACTTAGGCTCCATGAGTGAGGCCAGGCAGGAACCCAAGGACCCAAAGCAACTTACCAAAGACCTTGGTGGTTTCTGTCATTTCATGGCCAACAACTTCCCTGCACCATGGGTTCTCAGGTATCCCTAACTGTTGCAAATTCAGCAAATAGCTATTGGCTGCTGCAGAAATGACCCCCAACCAATACCTGAAGACCACAGGACCCACATTAATGACAATAGCCACACTAACTGGCTCCTCTGTAATCCCGCATGGGTAGCTAGCTGAAGGTGAGGCTTATCCTGTGGATCAGCGGGTTAAAGGCTGTCCCCAGAACAGCCTGGCTAAGAGAACACACCCTCCTACCTACCTGATTCCCACCCAGACCCACCTAGCTCAGGGAAGCTTCAACCAACTCAATCACTGCTACTTTGTTTCCCTACACTGATACCATTTGAGGCTCGGAGTGTTCTGTGAGCATGACACCCACACCTGAAAGACACAACCCGTGCTCTGGTCCTCTGGGCACCAAATGTGTGACTATGTGACACATCCAACCCCAGCAAGCCAGGCCACTACCCAGGCCTGGGCCAGACAAGCAGAAGAGACAGTACCACATGCCTGAATGGAAGGGAGAGAAGACAGCTTCCTCCATTGCTGCCTCTGTTGAGCTGGAAACAGCCACAGTGAGGGCTAGGAAATCCCACTCACTCCTGTTATAAAAGCCTGTCCAGAAGCCATCCAAAAGGCAGTTGAGTGGGTCATTATCTTTATGTCTTTACTCTGATACCAAGTGCTGCACAGCTGGGGCCTGCTGGCCACACAGTCCATTGCAATCATCTTAGTGCCTCCATGAAGTCTGGCACTGGCCCGAGGCTCAGGCCAGCCCCATGAAGCCCCAGGAGGCAGGCGTCGTCCATGGCATTCCAAAATTCTACAGGTGCAGGACCTGGAAGAGAGGTTTGGTAGGTGGGGACAAATGGGCCTGGAAATATCATCCTCCAAGCTAAGATCTGTAAGGGTCATGCTCAAGTGAGAAATCCTTAGTAACAAACACTGGGACTCCAGATGATGGACAGGTCCCTGTGTGCTAGAGTAGGATGGACTGCAGAAAGCTGACACCGTCTGGTCTCCTGTGGCTTTTCCTGGAGTGGCCAGCCTCTATCCATCCCTCACTTGGCAGCATACCATCCAGGCCCAGGCAGTGTTAGGGATGTGGGACCAGTGGAAACATATCTGCCAGGCTATGTTGGGAGAAGTTACGGACAGCAGACTAAGGAGAGAAAAAAAAAGCCACAGGCAGATGAGCTTTTGGAGACACAGAACCACTTCAAGGGCAGTGGGGAAGAGGGAAGAACTCAGGTAAATAAGAGCTAAAGGGTGGGGACCTCAGTTCCCACAAGGCACTCCAGGTGACAATCTCCACCACACCAGGACATTTAATTCCCCATGCCTATAAGCAGAGGGGAGGTTGTCTATTGCTTCTGAGGCCCCCCTGAGCTGGAAGCCAGGCTGGTTTTAATCAGCAGCCTGGTAGGTCAGGAGCTGGCCCAGCTCACCCAGCACGATTGCTCCCTCACCTGCTAAGAGGGAGACACCTGAGAGGAGCAAGCTAAAAGCTAGATCACTGAAAGCTAGATGTGTCCCCACATTGACTAGCAACCAACCAGGTGACTGAGTAGAGGAGTCCCAGCCCCTCCCCATCCAAGCTCAGCATCACCATAGAACAACCAGGAGAAGTGGTCCAGAGCTCTGGATGGCTGGCAAGAACAGACAGTTGTCATGGCAACAGAAAGATGACCGTGCGTCTCATTAAAGTACTAAGTGACATCATAAACAAAGCAGACGGCTGCTGTTAGTCCCACATAATGAATGTGCGTCAGTGCTGGCCCTGGGTCCGGAAGCAAGGGAGGGTGTCAGCCTGCTTCTCCCTTTCAATAGCACATGCTGTCTGGAAGCCAGGCGGCATCTCCCTTGACCTCCCTGTGTGTTCTGCCTCAAGTTGGTGTTTAAGAGACAGAGCCTCCCTTTGTACACCTTCTCCTGCTCCCTGATCATACAGCCTGGATGAGACACAGCTTAAGGAAGGAAGCAGCCAGGCCTCCTCTCTCTCTCCTCCTAGCCGGGCTCCCTCCTACCTCAAGGCCCCGG